TCACCACCATCGTCATCAACAACATGTTTACCATCATCATCAGCAACATGATGATCAACATCACCGTCATTACCACCATTGGCATCACCCATCCCCGCTCGCTGTCCTCCTGCCCCCCTCCCCCGCTTTACGGCAGGTTCGTGTCGTGCCGACCCCAGCGTTGGTTCCCGACACCGCGCTGGATCGTTCAACCTTGAACGATCGGCCATTTCCGCAACGTCCGATCGTTCAACATCGACCGATTCTGGGTCGCCGGCGGCGTTCAACCTTGAACGCCCGCGCTGGGGTCGCCGCTGGTCGACACGACGCAAACCGACCGTAGCAGCACCAGCTCCTCCTCCTGCGGGCGAGGTCCGTGCACACCACGGCCAGGCACAGCCGCGCGGGGGGGTGCGAGCGGCGCTGGGCTCTCGGGGCGCGTCCTCCGGAGGCGCCTCCAGGATTCTGTGTGCTGACTTCTGGGCCGCGCGGTGCTGCACGGCCTCGAGGCTCGATCCTCGAGGCTCGATCCTCCTGCTCGATCCTGCTCGATCCTCCTGCTCGATCCTGCTCGGTCCGTGCTCCTGTGGGGTGGAAAATCGGCGGGGGCGACGCGCCGACCTCGCCGCGCCGTGGCGGCCACGGCCAGAGTGCTGCGGGCAACGCGGGTACAGTCGCGGCTTGGCCACGGGAACACGAAACCGTTCTCTGACGACCCAAGGCCTGATGGAGATACCCGAGAAGGTGCCAGCGCGAGCGCAAACACGAAGAACAGAAGGGTGCCCCTCGAAAGCTGGAGTTTTCCTTCACCCTCGCGCCAGCTGTACGGCAGGCACGTGCCGTGGGTCTCTGACACCGCGTGGCTCGTTCAACCTCGAGCGAACGCCCCTCTGCGCAGATAGCTTGATGTTGGCCGAATGCGGGACACAGGCGGCGCTAAACCCTAGACGCCCGCGCCAGGGTCGCCGCCGCGTCGACGTGACGCGAACCTACCGCAAAATGAAGCTCCGTTTTCGCCCGGGTGGGATGGAGTACTCGCGTACGGGACCTCGGGGGGAGACCAAGCAAGGAACGCTGGTCCTTCTCCAGGCCAGAGCACCCTCGCCCCAGGGCTCAACCCGCACGCCCGCTTTCGAATCCAGCAGATGGCCCGCTCTTCGTGGAACCTCCCTCGCTCTGAGCGGGCCCGCAGGCTCGGCGCCCCAAGGGGTGCTCGACCCGCCTTGCGGCGATGTCCGACAACACCGGCCGCGAACCGCTCTCCAGCTGCATGCGCAGGCGCGCGCGTCACTGGCGCGCGTTCGCGCTTGCGCTCGCTCGCTTGCCAGCCTGCGCGCGCTCTCGGGTGCGCCAGACCAGCGCACGGGGCTCCAGCCTTTGGGCACCGGCGAAGAGTAAGGCAGCGGCAACGACGACGACGACGACGACGACGACGACGACGACGTCGGGCGAGTGGCGCGGCCCGGCCTCAGTGTTGGCGCCCCCGCCCTGCTCCACATCCGCGGCGGCCTTGCCTGGCGCGTTCGCGCGCGCCCTTCGTCTCCCTCCCTCGCCGCCATCCGAAGACCAAAATTCAAACAGAAACAGTCGCCCTGACAAGTACGCGCCGCGTAGCCCAGGCAGTCTGCGATGCTCGGCGGCGGAGGGAGATGGAGCAAACGAGAAGCAAGCAGACGACGACGAACGATGTCCTTGCCCCTTCCCACCGCCCAGCACCTCCTCGATCCTCCACCCTCCTCCCCTATTCCGCCCTCATCGCTCCTCCTTGTTCCCTCCCCCGCCCCTCCTCGATCCTTCTCCGCGATCCTCACTTTTCCTCGTTCAACCTCCTCCTCCCCCTCCTCCCTCTCCTCCTCCTGATCCTCCTCCTCCTTTTTACGCTAGACCGACCTGAGCGTGAACGCTGCGGCGTTTGCGCACCATGTGAATAAAGGATGCAAACATGCAGGTGGACGACTCGGCGCAAAACAAAAACGAACAAAGAAAAAGTGGCCGCCGCAGCACATGAACTATGCAAAGACGCGGAAGAGACGTAAAAAGAGCAGGCGCCCGCCAGGCACGCGAAGTCGGCACTGACCGACATGGTAAGTACCCCCACGATGTGATAATCACATAGATACCACAACCTGACTTGTTTCATGGTAGTGCCGCCTCGGAAGGCAAGGATAAACGCACCATTGTTTTAAGATTGGTACTGTTGCAAAGACACAGCGTGGTCGTGCTCTCTGCGCGGAGCCTGGAGCACCTTGAAGAAGCAGCCTGTAGCAAAATGCAACACCAGAGGGCTAGAAATAACAGGAACCGAGGTTAGGTATAAGCTGCTTCTGTCGAGTGCGTTCTGTGCGGCCAGTACGTTTACGTGGGCAGTTTACTCACGTAGACGTCTGCGACAGTAAGGAAGAGAGAGTCTGTGCACGCTAAACTGGCAACTGCGCGCGGTCTGGCAGGCTGGCCTGCGAAGTCTAAGGCTGGTCTGTAGAAGTTACGTGTATGTTACAAGTCCTATGACTGCGCAGCGAGCTGGCAGCAGAATTGCGCCGGCCTGTGAAAAGATAAAGCAGGCCTGAAGGTAATTTAGCTGTACCAAATATTACAGATAGGCACTGCTGCAAAGCCACAATATTCCACCTCCCCCTCCAAGCCACCAGCCTATGCTCCCAGTGCGCCGGTTGGCATGCAGCGTGAAAAAGAAAAATGGCCGCAGCAAGCTTTGCACGGTCCCTCTTGCCAGCAGAAGGCCCGCTCTTCTAGCCAGCAGTAGGTCCGCTCTTCGGCTCCTGGGTGGAGGGGCCACCGTCGCCGCACTCATGTCAGGAGTGCGGGGGGGTAAGTACGCGGAGTGGAAGAGAAAGTTAACTGCGTACGCGGTCTGGTAGGCTGGCCCGTGAGGTCTAAGGCTGGCCTGTGGGCAATACGGATGATTACCATTCCTATGACTGTATGCTGCAAGCTGGCAAGAAAGCCAGGCCGGCCTGCGACGGGACGGGGCTGGCCTGAAGGTAGTACTGCCGCACCACGCGTGAAAGATAGGCACTGCTGCAAAGATATTGCATTGTCGCACTCTACGCGCGGAGCCTGGAGCACCTTGCGGAAGCAGCCCGCAGCTAAATGTAACACCTGATAAGAAGGCGCAAACAATAACCCGAGGTGGAGGCGAGATAAGTACAAGCTGCTTCTGTACAGTGCGCTCTGCGCTGCCAGCACCCTCACATGGGCAGATTGCTCACGCGGACGATTGGGACAGAGGAACATGAGAGCATGCGCTGGCTGAGTGGCCTGGCGACACGGAAGTGGGTCACGTAAATAATTGGCGTCTGTAGACTGCCAAAGCTATGCTCAACGCTACTGTCTGGCGCTAGACCCGTGCCGTGGGCGGCTGCAGTGGGAAGGTGACACCTTCGGCGCTCCTCACAGCGCCACTGCAAGGGCACCCTGCAATCCGACCTTGCTGGGTGGAGCGCAAGATAGCGGCGGCATCCCCCTCCTCCTCCTCCTATCCCCACCTCCCCAGCGCAAGATCGGCAAGGCTGCTGTGCTGCCCGCGTTCGTGCGTGAGCAGATTGCTCACGCAGAAGCTGCGGCAGCGAACCTACGCGCGCGGGGTCTGCGACCTAGCAACGACGAGGTAGGTCGCGTTAAAAATGCGGCCCGAAGACTGCCAAGCGCGCTCGAACTAGTGTCTGACGCTGTCCGCCCTTGCCGGGCGAATCGTAGATCGACATCAAATATGTCGACGCAAAATTTTGCCATATCACCCCGGACCTCAGCTGGAGAGAGGCGCCACCAGAGCGCCGGAAACGGGAGCGCAAGACAGGAGGTGCACAGCGGAACCGCGACGGGAAGAAGGAGAAATGTCGGCATGAAAAAACAAGAGTACGTTTCTGAGCACCCTAATGTACCTGGGCCGTGGAAGCTGAAGAAGGGCGCGCCTCAAGCGCCCCTCAAAGTCGGCAACGCATGCCCCCCCACAACAACGGAACCATCCTCAAACCACCGCCCCATAAATGGTGGCAAGACAACTGCCTGCGATGCCTACCCCGGTGGGGACCCAATTGCGAAAAAGAAAAGGGCGCAATCCTTGGGCTGCGATCCAAGGTTTTCCCCAAATCTGCATAGAGAAAAGTACCACCAACGCATCGAGCACGTCTGAAACGGAAACCAGAAGGACGAAGGGAGGGTGCATCGAGCATCAGTGGAGGGGCCCATGTAGGAGACATTATGGCGTGCACATCTGCACCTGCGCCATTACAAGATTCAGATGTAGGTCTTCTGCGGCAGTTGCCACTGAAGAAATACTGGCCGCGAATGTCGCGGCATCCTCTGAGGTAGTTGATGGCAGCGCGCTGGACGTGGGTGTCACGGTAGTCGCCACCTCACGTGATAACCTGATCATTGCCCGAGAGCGTCGGCTTGGGCCCGGGCACGGCCTCGCGATGAGTCACCAGTTGTTCCGGCGGGCGCCCAGTGAACGGCACCCCGGGCGCGCATTCGAGCAGGCCGTTGGCGAAGAGCTAATAGCGCGCCTGGCGCGCGGGAAGCCTGCCGACATCGTCCTGGAAAGTGGGGCCGCCGATGTCGCTGATGATGATGACGCGTCCGTTGAAGATGTGAGATGTAGCTCTTCCCGTCTCGCTGCATCGTCGCGCGCGGCGATTGATTGCGCTGCGTCGGAAAGTGCGTCTGCGGGGCCAGGTGCCGCATGGGTAGCTCCTGGATCCACCGTCGCGCCCTAACGTCTTCGCCCGGTAGGCACATGGTTGTCATTTGTAGTGGGGGCGGCGGAGAGCGCGCTGATGACTTGCTGGAACGGTGACCATTTGATCATAGTGGTGGCGCCGGAGCGCGGGCGCGTTGGCGCGGCGATGCCCTCGGGGGTTGCTGGTCGTTGCGGCGTTGGCAGGCGCGCCTGGCTCATCAGGCGTGCTGGTGGAGGCTTGCGTAGTCCTTTGTGAGCGATAGTCGTGGTCATCGTCGCGACAGTCGCGACCAGTTAAGGAGTTTGGGCATGGGTTCGCTTGGGAAGGCATGATGCTGCTCGGCGCGGGCGCGCTTGATACATTGTTTGCGCGTCGTGGCGAGCCGGCGGTGCTAGAGTCGGTTTGGATATGACTGCGTCGGTTCGTTGGTCCGCGTCGGTCGGGCTGTCCCGAGCGCCCCATGAGGGCGGCAGCGCGGGCGCTAATCGCTCGGGCGCAGTAGTCTGTAGCGCTGTTGGCGATAGTTTGGGCGACGGTGGCTGGGCGCGCTGCGAGGCGCGAGAGCCGGGGTCTGCTCTGACTGGGCTGCCGCAGTCGTCGCGCGTAGTCGCGGTGGCGCGTCTGAACGCATCTGGGCCGCAGACTCGCTGCAGTAGCGCGGCTGCATGACGGATGCAGACCGCCCAGTCGCATTTCACAATATCACCCTCGCCATGAAATGCGTTGAGCCACTGACCGATTTCTTGCATGGCCGCAATCTTGTCGGCGTTGAGTGGTGCATGTCCTCCTGCGAGTAATTCCTGTAGATGTTGGTATGTCGTGACCACTCGCACTGGCAGGGCTAGGTCGTCGCGGCAGCCGGCTGCCAGCGCCTGGAGGTCGCTGCCGCTGCGCCTGACTGCGGAGAACGTGGGTGTTTTGAGCATCGATCGACGCGCGTCGGCTTGCACGGCATCTTCGAGCTTGAACTTCCCGTGCGTTTGATGTTGGAGGGAATGCGCAGGTAGATAGTGGAGTGGCTCTAGGGTCTGGGCGAAGTGGTTGGCGCGCAAGGCACTGTCTACCATCTTGGCGGGCGAACATCTCGCCGCTGTAATTGTCGAGGCATCTATACCAGCCAGGTAGTAGGAGGTCGTGATTCGGATATATGTATGCGCATGTGTTCGATACTTCGCGGTAGTACACTGCGCAATTCTAGCCGTCGTCTTCTTGTCCGTCTGCGCCCGCGTCGACGGCGCAGCGGCAGCGGGCCGCCCAGTCGCCGGGGCAGCGCAGGTCGCGGCACTTGTCGGGTTTGAGCGACGCGAGGTAGAACTCGCGGGTATATGATGATCCGCCCGTCCTGGCCCGCGGGTCGTTTTCGTCGACGTCGTCCTCGGAGTCGGTGGCGTCGAAGCATACCTGGGGGCAGTCAGTCCATCTGCTGAACCTCTCGTGAGTTTTGCGATGGGTTGCTGCGCCCTGGCTGGTGCTGGTGGAACGTAATCATAGATTGCGTCGATCCCTCTTCTGTCTGGCTTGTCCATGTTTTCGTGATATTTAGGAGAAGAATCGTTTGCTCTGGCGGTAGCATTCTCGTGTGACCGTTGCACTTGCGTCGCTGCTTCTCACAGCGGTCGTAGTCTCGCTTTGCGATGTCGCGTATTGCTGCGAGTTGCTGCCGTGCAAATGCGCAGCGTTCGTCATCAGACGATAGGTATGCGCAGAATCTGGAACCATCATTGTGCTGGATGTACTTGGGTTGCTAGCGAGTGCACACTGGCCCGCGCGGTCGTGGCAAGACCATGGGGGCCCCGGCTCGACGCGCGCGGAGCTGC